CTATGGACATAGGTAAGTGTATAAAAGTAAAGAAAGGAGAGGACTTAGGCACTAATGTATACTTATTGGTAAAGAATTGTGAGCCTGCAAAAAAAATAGAGGGATGTTCAGAGAAAGAAGTGAATATTGTTCTGTGAAAACCAAGCATTGAGAGACTTTTAAGAGGGGAATGGTTACCAACGCTTCTGAATTGTTATGAAATGAGTGAAAAGTGTCCTGTGGGCTTGGCGATAGGGAGAGGTTATTGGTGACTTGGCTGTCTTGGTGGAGTGGTGAGGGAAGAAGCTAAATAGGAGTGAGTTCAGTGAACAGGAGCTGAGGAGATGGAACCAGTGAGAATAGACAACTTGTATGGAAAGTTTGTCCTGTGAATGGTTGGAGACAGATATGGTGGCTGCCAGAGGAGATGTAGACTGAGTGGTATTCAGTGAACGTGGCATAGAAAACGTAGAGTTGAGATGATTCTGAAATGTTTTGATGGGCAAAGAGATGTTGGAAAAGTATTTCAATTGAATAGTGGGCAGCATGAATGAGCAGATTTTCAGAACATAATGAAGAGACTGACCTAACTGCAGTAGTATAGACTTCAGGAATAATGGGAAACATGCTTGTACAGGTAGGGAAGGTGAGGCTGAATTTCAGAGGGCTTTGTTAGCCTTGGAAAGGATTTGAGATTTGATTATATAAACAGTTGGGATTGTTGATCTGGATGAAGAATGATAGGATATAGGAAGGGTTTCAGGGAGACAATTTAGCATTCGCCTAAACACCAGACTGAACATTGGGATGAGTCAAGGCAGGGATACCATGTAACTGTATGGCCTGCCACAGTTATCTAGTCATGAAGTGGACAGCTTATGGATTAGAGAGGGTAAACTGGCTTGGGCTAAGGGGAGAAAGAAAACAATATTTGATGGTCATATTAAAAATATTTATAGTTGATACTATAAATAAAAGAAAACATTTATTTATAGAGGAATTTATACTTTCTGAAGTACTTTTGCAGAAATTAGTTCATTTTGATCTCTAACTGCCCTAGGTACCACAGAAATGTAGTATTACCATCCTCATAACTAAGGTTAAGCTCAAGTATCATTGTTTTCCTAAAACTTCTGATTCTCTGGTCAGATGGAATTATCCATTGTCCTCTTTGTGTGTTTTTAAATTTTTTATGCAGCAAAATGCACAGATCTTAACTGTATAGTTGAATGAATTTTGACAATTGTATACACCTGTGTAACATATACCTCTATCAAGATAGAGAACAATTACATTTGCCAGAAAGTTCTTTTTCTCTTTTCTGTCACTTCCTCCACCATTCCCTTTAGAAATCATTGTTCTGGTCCCTAGCATCATATAATGTTAGTTTTTCCTATATTTAAGCTTCATATTAATGAGATCAAACAGTATACCTACTTTAGTGGCTTGTTTCTTTTATAATGTTTTTGAGGTCATATTGTTGCATGTATCAGAAGTTTGTTCCATTTTAGAGCTGAGTAGTATTCCTTGTGTAAATATGACACAATTTCTAATCCATCCTCTTCTTAATAGACATTTGCATTGTTTCCAATTTTTGGCTACTATGAATAAACCTGATGTGAACATTTTCCTACAAGTCTTTTTGTAAACATATGTTTTCATTTCACTTGCATAAATACCTTAAAGTGAAATTTCTGGGTCATAAATACATATTTAACTTTACAAGAAACTGTTTTCCAAAGTGATCATACCGTTTTGCATTATTGCTAGCAGTTTATAAAGAGCACCAGTTGTTCTTGATTCTTATCAACAATGTTGTATTGTTAGTCTCTAAAACTACTCTAGTAATTGAGCAGCAGTATATGATAGTGCTTTCAGTTCGTGTTTCCTGATGCCTGTTGATTGTAAGCATCTTATTCTTGTGCTCATTGGCTGTTGTTATCTTTTTGGTGTGTGAAATGTCTGTTTAAGTTACTTGCTCATTTTGATACTTGGGTTGTTTGTTCTTTTGTAGGAATATTTTGTATTTTCTGGATTAGAGTTCTTTCTCAGATATCTGTAACATAAATATTTTCTCCCAGGCTGTAGGTTTCCACTTCATTTTCTTGAGAATGCCCTTGAATGAGTAGTTGACAGTAACGTTGATGATGCCTAATTTATCAACATTTTCTTTTATGGTGATTGCTGTATGAGGCTTATATAAGAAATTTTTGTCTTCCTCATGATTGCAAAGATTTCCTTCTATGTTTTCTTCTAGAAGGCTTATAATTTTCCCTTTTATATTTAGATCTATGACCCACTTCAAATTATTTTTGTGTGTGAGGTAGGGGTCATGTTTCAATTTTTGCTCATATGGATATCCAGTTGTTTCAATAAAATTCGTTGAAAAAGACTTTACCTATTCAGTTGTCTTGGCATCTTTGCAAAAAAGCCATTGACATTGTATTTGAGGGCCTATTTCTGAACTCATTTTGTTTTATTGGTCTATTTGTCTGTCCTTACTCCATTTCCATATCATCTTAATTACTATAGTTGTACATTTCTCTAACTTTGTTCTAGTTTTTCATATTTTATTTTTAACTACTTTAATTTGCATTTTCACAAACTTTTATAATTTTTCAATTTTCTCAAAAAAGTCTGTTGTCATTTTCATTGTGATTGTATTGAATCTATAGATCAATTTGCAGAAAATAGAACACTTTTTGATGTGGAACAAAAGAGCAAGAAATGTATTCCTACTGTAGCTTGTTTATGTTTATCTCTCTTGTGGTTTACTGAGTTGCTAGTTTTCATTCTATTTGGAAAAATTTTATCTATCATATTGTCCGATAACATGTGTGCCCTCTCTTTTTTTTTTTTGTTGACTCAACTACATATATTTTAGATTGCTTGATATTGTCCCACAGAACATCTCTTCAATCTTTTTCTCTTTTACTTCAATTTGCAATAGCTTGTATCGATGTGTTTTCAAATTGTTCTTTCTTTCTTAGTGTCCAATCTGCTGTTAAACCAATCCAATAAATTATTAATTTCAGAGATTGCATTATTTCTATGTTTACCTATTGACTTCTCTTTCTACTGCCTACTTTTTTCCATAGTAATTGTAGGGTTTTCCATTTCTTGCCTGTCTAATAATTTTTTATTGTTTTTGGGACATTATATCAATTCATTGTAGAGATTTGGAATTTCATTATTTTCCTCTGAGAAGAGTTACTTTTTTTTTTTTAATCAGGCAGTTAAATTACTGATGGATCACCTTGATCATGAAGAGACTTGATTTTAAGATTATTTTTTGTGTTTTGGTCTACTTTTTACATTTTTTATTTCAGTCCCAGGGCACATCCATTCATCCTATGACTTGTTTCTTACTCCTAATGCATGGCCTCCTGTGTTAAGATGGAAGGCTTGAGGTGTTTTTCAAGCTTCTCTAGCTTGATGGGACTTGAACTCTGAAATTCATCTGCTAGCGTTGGGGAGCTGGTGGAATTTCTATCCATCTCTTTAGCCCTTTACCATTGCTGTCTGCTGGATTCCTTATTGTCTCACCCTATGCCTACCCAGTTTAGGCCACAAGAAGGATTTGAGGTATATTATGCAGAGGTTTATCACTCCATCAATTAAAAGATTTCCCCAACTCCAAGTTCTGCCAGCCCCAAATTGTGACCGTTGACTTCTTATACTTGTAAGACACTTCTGCTTGAGCTCTTTCACACTATGAACTTTCCAAACTGGCAAGTGCTCTCAGGGGAGTAGACAGTTAAATGACTATCTCAGCTAATATAGCCTCTCTTTTTCAAGGGTTTATTTTTCCCAGTTTCTGCCTACTTTTGGTTGTTTCCTAGTGGCTTCAAACAGATTTTGTTTTTCATGTTTTGTCCCATGCTTCTTTATTTAGTATCTATTCTGACAGTTGTATTTTGTTGTTATGTATTTGTTTTCAACAAATACTTTTATTGAGAGCAAAGGGTACGTTTTACTAATCTTTATTTTATCCCACTGTTTGACCCAGAGCAGTGACTTTTATACAGCAGCTACTTAGTAAATGTTGAATTGCATTATTATTTTTATGAAGACCAAGTATGAATGAGGATTTAAAGTCTTCTACTAAAAAGTTGTTATGTTTTTAGTATACTACCCTGAGTATGAGTTCAAAAGAAATTTTCTTAGGTAAAATTTTGATGCATAGTATTGCTTTAAATGTTTTTACTTTTAAATTATTTATATTAAAAATAAGTGTTCATTTATATATTTTAATATTATTTTAACTTTAATTCCTTTTAACGTTGACATATAACATGTGGTTTACAAAACTGCTAGAGTTTGTGCCTAATATGATTGGATTTTCAGTCATTTTATATTAATTTATACAAAAGCAAACCTACTTTTCTGTGTAAAATAGAACAAAGATATCTCTGTTATTTAGAATACTGGTAGTTTCTAAATTATCTGTATTATGTGGTTGAAAATATCTTTGAATGATTTTAATTTAAAGGAAGACTTTTAAATTCTATTTTAAATTAGACTTTTCAAGATCAGTCTAATGGACAAAAAAATTGTTCCATCATGTCAGCAATATATTAATATAATTTTTGAAGGGGTCATCCAATTTTCTTTTATTATCAACTTCAGTATTCTCAATTTGTAGGGAAGTGACTGTAGCCCTAATCTTAATAAATTAACCAATTTTTAGGTGTAATTTATAGTCATTAACATTATTTAATACTAACTATACTTTTATTTCATAGCTTAGGGTATATACTTTAATGCAAAGAAATATTATAAACTGGTTTCTTCCAAATGGAATTTTTAGTTTGTATATAAATTCAGTATTTATTGCAGGTCTTATATGATGATCATGCAAAGCTGGTTATGTCAATTTCAAGAACAGATTATATTATTTGTACAATTACAAACCATAGTTTTATGTGTCCATCTTTATGAGTTTGCCTTTTTGATTACTTGAAATAAGTGAATTGTTGAATGAAGCTAAATAACCTCCTTTTTTCTCCTTTCTTCTTCAGAATCAAGTTTCTTACTGGGAAATGCCCAGATTGTGGATTGGCCTGTAGTTTATAGTAATGACGGTTTTTGTAAACTCTCTGGATATCATCGAGCTGACGTCATGCAGAAAAGCAGCACCTGCAGGTAACAGAATAGCTAAGTAATCTTTTCTGAAATTTAACACAAATCTGAATGTAATTAAAAGGCTTAAGCTTACTTGGACTCCCATATACAAACTATAGAGTTAAAAATTATATTAGAATATTAGGGAGACTAAATCATCACTGGAAACATACAGCTTAAGAGCCGTTGGTGAGAACTTTTGCCAAAAGGAAGAGTTTTATATATCCGTGAGTTAATCAATTCATTCAATAAATATTTTTTGATCACCTACCATGAGCCCGGAATAGTCTAGATGCTGAATTATCACAGGAATGTCTTGTGTCAGGGAACAACTTGTGGCATGTGATCTACAGCATCTCTGGAGCAACTAAATTGTCTTGAACAAAACAGAGTAAACGCCACCTGGCCAAGTTAAGCATGGTCCATGAGAATGTAAAGAACATAAAATAAAGCTCTTACATCCTGTGTAAGCCACATGTACTTGGTAATGGTACATTGTTTGACTCATGTACAGCAGAATCTGACATTTATATTATTATAATGGTTCTTTTAAAAAATATGCCATTTCTGTGAGCTTAAAGAGAATATTAAGAAAAAAGGGGATCAGAAAAAAGAAAAGGAAACTATATATAAGGAACTAATTTAGAACCCAAAACTTTTCACAATATTTCTGTAAGGCCAGATGGGATGTTTTTTCCATGAGTTAATTTTTCTTTAAAGCTCTCATTTAACTAAGCACTGAACCAAGTTATTTTAGAACTACAAGGGATCTGATTTTTTTTTTCTAGGCCAAATCCTGTTTTTCAGATGAGAAAACTGAGGTAGAGCCATGTTAAGGGACTTGCCTAGAGAAATAGTGATTTATTTTTTCTACTCATTTATGCTGAGAAGCATGATATATATATATGTGTGTGTATATATGTATGTATATATATGTATAATAGTTATATACATATACAGTTGACCCTGGAACAACACTAGTTTGAACAGTGTGGGTCACTTATAGGTTAATTTTTTCAACCAAATGTGATCAGAAATGTAGTATTAGAGAAATACAGATCAAAAATACAATATTCAAGGGGATGTGAAACCCTTGTGTACAGAGGGCTGACTTTTTATATATGTGGGTTCCGCAGGGCTAACTGCAGGACTTAAGTGTGCACGGATTTTGATATACGCAGTGATCCTGGAACCAATCCCCTGTGTATGACTTTCTCCCTCTCTATATAACTGTATATTTATCTGTGAATTAATCAATTCATTCAATAAATATTTTTTGATCACCTACCATCTACCATGAGCCAAGAATAGTCTAGGTGCTGAGTAATCAGAGGAACATGTATATCTGTATATATACATACACACAGAGAGAGAAAGGGAGAGAGAGAGAATCATCCTTAGTATACAGAAGAGATTGGTTGATGACTCTCTCTTTCCCTCTCTAGATATCCTTCATCATCATGAAAGATAGATATTTTATATTACACCATTGAATTTAAACCTGACTGCACATAGCAATCACTTAAATAGGTTTTGCGAAACAGATTCCTACCCCGCTTAAACCTACTGAATTAGAATCAGTAGGTGATTCTGAAGTGGGTGGGTCAAGCAGGGAGTCAGTATTTTTAACCAACAGCTTAGATGATTCTGGTGCTTATCCAGGCTTGAGAAATAATCTGCTCAAACATTCTCTTCCTTAATCTATGCTCCTCTAGCCACCCTCATTTTTGCCTCTACTAAAGGCATTCTCATATTCAGTCTTCATTCCCAAGTGTGGAAATTGGTAAATGGGAGTGATGAAAATCTGTGGCTTCTGGTTGAGAGGATCCCTTTGCTAGCACTGATATCATTGGTCCGAGTTAAGCATTGCTCCTCTCCTATCCCCCAGAAGGCAGTTTAAGTTAGAAAAAGCTGAGTTTCATGGTAGACCTTATCCTGTGGAACAGGTCCCTAGAGAGTTCCAGGAAACGCAGATATACTCACACTCCCATTTCTTATTTTTGAACTGCTGACATCCCGTCTTCATGCCAGGTTTGTCTCAGATCTCATCTTCTACCTGAAGGTATTTATGATTCCCTAAACAAGACAGGTTTTTCCCTTCTCTGATTCCTCGTAGTTTCTTGTGTATATTTCTGTTGGCATCATCATTTGCCCTTAAACTAACTCGCCTTATCCCTTGGGTTTTTATTCTTATTGCTTTATTGCTTTTGTTGCCATTTTTGAGAAGTACTGCTCTTCATATCTGGATCTATTTTAAGTCCTGCTCTCATCCCTTCTTGTGTCCCATGTATCTGCCGTATCCCTGGCCTATTTTCTTTGCCAAGTACAATTTTTTCTACAAAGGATTCATGAAGAAAATAACTGCTGGTATGTTATATTAGCTCTTTGCTCCTATGAAAGAACTGCCTTTCTTCTCCTAATACAAGTACCACAAGTACCAGATTGTAAGTGCCTTAAGAGTAGGGACTCCATCTTGCTCACTTTTCTATGTACAACAGGACACAAGACAGTGTCTTGTATTTATTGAATTAGATGGCTTGTTTTGCAATAAACCCTTACCTAGGTCTCACATGCTCTGAATAGCATACTGTTATTTCTTGTGTTTCATCCTGTGTTATGACATGAGGTGGGAGAGTTTTGGATTATACCATGCTTTTTAACTGCATAAAAAAGTATTTGAGTCTTTCCCCAAATTGTCTTTACTTATCAGAGACAGTGTTTTCAAATGATCGTGTTCTTAATGTAAGCAATTATTACTTACTTGCATAAAATGCCAGGTATGTTTTGTTAACCTAAAAATTGTAACCAGTTTAATGCCCTCACAGAACAATGAAGACTAGCATCTGATATATGAACAAATATCTGACCTGTATCAGTTTTTCTTGGAAGCATGATTTATTTTAATGTGCTCTTCTTTTAAACTTCCTTATTCTCTTTTAAAATTAAACTATATCCATTTTATGTTTGCTGTAGCATTATTTAGAAGACTGAAGACCTGGAAGTAATCAAAATATCCAGTAGTAAAGTTTATCTACATCATATGTTGTATATACTGGAAGGACAGTGACACTGGAAAAAACTAACAACATATTATCAAGTAGAAAAAAGCCTAAAACAAAACAACAAACCCAAAACCACCCCCCAAGCAGTTTATAAAACAGTGTTTGCATCATGACTCACATTCTTTTACATATAGCTTTTTTCCCATTTCTTGAATAAATCCAGAAAAGCCTTTAAATGTGAGACACAAAATAACAGAGAGAGAAAAGAAGAAAATTATATGCACATTTAGAAACACAGGGTTGATGGCTAAAAGTTATTATAGTATGTGGAATTACTGACTTATAAGTGAATATGGAGATAAGTATTTGACACTGAGAATATCCTTGTAAATAATTTTAAAAATTTTGCTTATCATAATAAGTTTTTAGACAGACGTAAGAGAATAAGAAGCTACAAAGCGGTGAGCTTCATTTTATATGGGAAAATACAACCTTTGACACTATATATCTCAGAAAAAAGATATTTTTTTATACAACTTGCATTAGATTTTTATATACAACTTGCATTAGATGAATTAAAGTCTATAGGATTAAAGTGACAACTAGGTAAATTATTACATGCCATAGTTTTAAATGTTCAAAAGTGAATTGTTTTATGGTAAAATAGAAAACACATTAATTTGTGTTTTTATAATATCAAGAGGCTAATATTTCTTTCTTCTGTTTTATCTTTTTTCTTCTTTGTCCTTCTCAACCCCTCCCATGCTAGACCAGACACACAGAATCAAATTAAACATAGTCCTCAGTTTGTCACAATATTATCATTTTGCTCTCTTAAGCAAGGTCTCTCTTTATTTTATTTCAATTTTTTCCTTTTATTTCTTTTCCCTTTCATCCCATCCCCCTTCTTCCTTTTGAGATTATTCATTCTAGAGTGTGTTTATTGTATACCTGTCTAATCTGTCTTCTGTTTGTTTATTAAATATGTATATTCTGGAAATGATACTGCTTTGCATATGTTGGTTTTTAAGATCTATTTAATTCCTACCACACTGTAGTATTTATGGTTTCTTACTCTTTTCATTCACCATTATGTTTTTAGACTTCTTTGTGTCATCATATGATGATCTATTCATCATGTCTGATTGTTGTCTAATGTTCTAGTGTCTTCACAGCCTTCGTTCTATTTATACATTCTATTAGTCCTGGAATCTAACTTTGACACTTTGCTACCTCAAACAATTTGGAAATAAGCATCCTCCTACACATCTTCTTGTGGCCCTGTGTGAGAAGTTTTCTATCTCTATCCCCAGAAATGGGATTGCTGGATAATAGAATATATGCAGAGTTTGTAAATTAACTGCTATGAGATTGTTGCCCAGAGTAACCTTCTGTTTCCACTCTCAGCAGCCATTAGTGAGGGTTCTAGTTTTCCTACATCTTTGCTATGTCATAATAGTACTGAAATTCCTATTTGAAAATATCTGATGTGTGTTAGGTATTGTCTCATTTTTGTTTTAGCTAAAATTATGACACTATAACACTTTCGGATCCCTGGGAATTTCAAACGTTGTCCATTTTACTGTGGACATTGCATTTTCCACACCTTTGGACTGTTTTCCTGTTTACTGGAGGACATGAAAAGTATTGCACGTTTAAAAGAGGTTATAGACTTTGGGAGAATGACATTTAAAAGCATGTGATCTGATCTCATGACCTGTAGAAGCTCTGACATTTGGGATATGCTGTCATAGATTAGGTAGGAACCACTTTAGCATTCTACTTCTAATTAACCTGAAACTTTTAAGAGCCTATTCTGCTGTCGTTTTTTGTTTTTGCTTTGGATAGAGGGGTGAGAAGAACAATCAGGTAGTTTAGGTAGGCAGGATTGAGGGGTAGATAGATGCTCTCAAATGCATTTTTTTGAAAGGCCATCCATTTACAATCTCTTATCCAACCCCATCAAGTTAGACAGTGAGTCAGAGATATTAGAAGCACTTTATTGGATAGATCTCACAG